TTGCTCGATGTATGCGAGAACTGTTTCACTACTTCAATCCATCGGAATGAGAAATCTTTTGAGTTATCTCATCTGTATCTTCTTCATGAGCTACGTTTAGAATTAGATTGGCAATTGCATCATCTGTCAGCTATATAATCAACTTCACAGTCATTAGTTTCATTTTGAACGTCTTGTGTTTTGTTGTTTATCTTAAATAATTTTTTGTACTACTTATAAATAGTGGACACTTTTACGTCTTCCCAAGCAGAGGCAATCCAATAGCAAACATCTTTAACCGTGATCTTCAATGTCTCAATTACACTCAGCCCGTAATCCAGCTTAGTTAGCAGTGCCTGAAGAAGCTTCCGCCGATAATTCCTCTTCATTGCTTCTATGTCTAGGGGTTGGATGAGATACGTGACATTGGGTGGAAGGAACACAGCTCATATGTCACCACTAATTCTCATCTGGGTGGGATGGTGCGTTGTCCAACAACAAAAAAGCTTTTCTGGACAGATTTTTGTTTATTAGGTAGGCATCAATGACTGGCACAAAGTCATTAAAAAACCAGTCTTTAAAAGTGTTGCAGTCCATCCATGCATTGCGTTGGTTGCTATAGATTGTAGGTAAATAATTTATATGGACATTTTGGAATGCTCTTGGATTTTTGGATTTTCCGATTAAAATAGGTTTTAATTTTAATGAACCAGAAGCGTTGTTGCAAATCATGATTGTGACTCTCTCTGCTTTTTTTTGTAACCTGGTGCAGTTCCTTCATTTTTAGCAGCTAGTGTTTTCGATGGAAGCATTTTAAAGTTAAGGCCTGCCTCATCAGTTAAATATTTGGTCTGAAGTTAGTCCATCTTAAAGGATAATGTCTTGTAATTTTAAATAAAATGTTCCAATTTTAGTTGAGTCGGCAGAAAGTTTTTCGCCGCAAATATTCAATTGTCGGATGCCATATTTCTTTTTCCATAAGTCAATCCATCCTTCATTAGCACAAAAGTTTTCTCTTCCATCCATAAACTTCTGGAATTCAATAGCTTTTGCTTGGGGTAAATTTCTTTAAATAAGGCGGTGACCAATTTCTGAGAATACTAACTTGACATCAGCTTGACCTAAAGCCTACCTTACACACAATTCTCTTCTTATCAATAATCCACAATTTTCAATGGATTGTCCATATAACAGCAGCCGATATAACTTGTAACTATCGACCCTTTTTTATTATTCGATATTGTGATTCAACAAGTACAGCTATAAAAGTAAAACACAGGCAAAATATTGCCTCGGTTAACCGAGGGGGTCAGATAATCGAGAGTCTACTGTATATACTTAAATTTCAGAATGTTTTTCCAGCCAGTATTACCATTTCAGAGAAAACGCACTTCTATTCAAATATAAATAAGTAATATCTTATCTTTATAAGTATTAGCTTTTGTTTAAAAGTTACTACTTCTAAGATAACACTTATTTTTATTTAATAGACCCATTGTCCCATCACTTGTCAAACTAGTGTCGTTGTGCCCTAACTCTATTTTACTTTAAGTTTGATACCTCGCGTTTTAACACCTAGAAACCCTAATTTTCGACCATTGTTTCTCAAGCAACCTTATATCATCAAATTGAAAAAAATTAGCTTTAATTTGATACAAAAAAAACATACATTTACTTCATGAGCAGCGTATTTTATTAAAAAAATAAATAAATGAATGAAATAAAATATTTGTTAAAAAACTAATTATTAATGGAATTAAAAACATTTGCGGACACTACTGACTTCATTGACTGGTAATCTATTATCAATTGTTAAATGGGTTCAGTTACCGCAGTTATCACAAAGAAGGAAAAAACCTATTTCAATGTATTCTCCTATTTTTAAGTGTATGTAAAAATGTGAATTTAATGAACTATGATATAATCTAGTAATCCTGCAGTGGGATCTTGTACTATAAAGACTATTAGTCTTTGCTATGTGGCTACTTTCAATTACTACTAAGATGTTTTCACTGATGAAGGTCTAATAAGACTAAATCATTCTGAAATTTTTAATCCTTTTGGATAATTTGAATTTTATTATAAATATAAATACCAACATTATGCATCTAAAGTTTTTACTTTATTGTAATTTTTTTAACGAATTAATTGGTTTGTTGATATAAAAACAAAACTGCTTTAACAAAGAAAATGTTTCTTGGATTTAACAAACTTTTTGAAATGAAATGATAACCAAACAAATTGTAAAAAAATAATGAAATTAAAAAAGATTGTTCCTTTTTCACAATTACAATGGCAGCACAATTACATTGTAGAAAAGTTAATTCCTCCGTTATCAATCTCCTATTCCAGGAAACCTTCTTCTTCTTTAAGTACTGTGCCAAAGTTTTAGGCGTGGGTAGCTTCCATGATGATTTGCCGATATCATTCTCGATCTTACACGGCATGTAATAATTCATCTGCTGATAAGCCAGTCTATTGACAAAGGTTTCGGAGTCATGCGTATTTCTTCCTACCAATTCCTCTCTTTCCGTCGATCTTTCCGTTGAGTATCAACTGCATTATCCTTTATCTGCTTCATCTCATTACATGCCCCAGATATTCGAGTTTTCTTTTTTATCATCTTTATTAAAGCTGGATTTTCACAAATCCGATATCCTATGACACGAAATACGAATTTTTTTTGTACCAATATATTTGATTGTCGTATCCGAAATTTTTTGACATATAGGTCATATATATGTGTTATGTGTCAGATTATTGTATGGATTGATATTTATTTCAATGAACTATCAATAAATTTTAGCTGTTTTGTTTGATATAATATATATTATATTGAGATATATCGGAACTTCTTCCGATGACTTTCAATTTCGTATAAAAAATCCCACCTGTCATTTTTCAACCAATGAAATTAATAATAATAATAATAATCTTTATTAATAGCACATGGCTAGAAAAATATACATGTAGATACATCAATTTATACCCTTAAAATTAAATCACAATGCTTTGCTTAACATATATCTTACATAAATTTTTAAATTGAGCTAAGTTTCCAGAAGCCTTAATGTTTTCCGGTAATTCATTGTATTGCTTTAATCCCCTATAAAAAAGATTGTTCTGACCAAAATTAGTGTTGACCCTATTCAGATAAAAGTTATTTCTAGAACGTGTGTTGTGTTCATGTACATCTCGAACAAAGGTACAATTATTAACACAAATGCACAGGTATCAGACCATTTAACATTTTATAAATAAAAATCATACTATTACATACAATTGTCTGTCTTACACTTAAAACATTTGCCATTGTTAGCATGTCAGTTCTACTAGTGTATACACTACATCCTAATATTATCCTTAAGGCTTTATTTTGTTTTTTCTGCAGTACATTCATTTGAGAAGCATTCATTAAAAACAGCAATGTAGAGCAAAAATAGAGATGGGGAGCAATAATCGATTATATATATATATATAATATATATATATATATAATTCGCTGAAATTTATATCGTATCATCGTACCGTCGGATATCGGACCTGTGAAAATCCACCTTTAGTCACCTTCACCGTAACCTACTCTGTTTAAGACTTCTCTGTTGAAATGTGTTGAACCAATGATATTCTAAGCATTCTATGATATAACCACATCTCGAAGGCTTCTAATTTGTTCATCATGTTAACCTTCATAATCCAGGTTTCACATTCGTACAGTAATACAGGATACATATAACATTTAAGGAACTTAATTCTCAGCTGTAAGTTCAGCTGAGAATTGCTCAGAATCTAAGTTTCATAAATGCTCCTCTTGCAATTTCTATCTGAGTTTTAATTTCTTCATCCGGATTTAGTGTCTCGTTTATCCAAGATCCTAGGTATTTAAAATGGTTTAATTTTTGTTATTGGTTCATTATTGACAATTAGTTGTATAGCACCAAGGTCTTGTTTACTAACCACAAGTTACTTTGTCTTTATACTTAATCCGCTATTAGAGCATTCTCTAGTGAACTCCACATTGCCCCTTCCAAGGCTTCGTTAAAAATTATTTCTGAGTAAACCATAAATGTTAAAAAATTTTACAGAACACTATATTATCAACTGTACCACTAATAATTTGAATGAAACAAAAAGTTATACCAGACAGAAAGATTTACGTATTGAATAAAACAAATTAAAAAATTTGTGATACTTTGTCCATATGTAGATTGTTCCCTTGTCTTTTTCTTTGTTTTTGTTGATGCGAAAAAAGATAGCTGTTAGACTGTTTGGTTGTTGAATCATAACTACAAACCACAAACTACTGGAACTGTTTTTATTAATGCTAGATAATTATTTAAATTTAATGTAAATATAGGAGAAATGTCATAGCTTTGGTATATAAATAAAATTGAAGTTTCACACTAAAAGTATCAATGTACAAGTTTCAATAACTACTGATTGCAATCTACCATGTACAATATATTTATTAAAATTGGACAAGTGATAATTTTCTGGCTATAGTGTTCATTAACTTACTCTTCAGTATTCAAAATTTAATCTCTTGTTTTCCAGTGCTGACAACAAAAGCAACTAATTACATATCACATATATCCCAATATTTAGGAAATCAATCAGTGAATGAAATGAGCAAATGAAAACTAGTGATTGTATATCATGTCTTTGGTATATTACTAAATAAAACATTTCAACAACTGCATATAATTTCAATTCCTCGAACATTTATTACATTTGCCTGCTAGATAAAGTACATTATTACATCCTTAGTCCTTAAGATCTGGTAAATGCAAGGGAACATTGTTTTCAAAGTTAAGTGTACTAAAGTGTTGCATAATGTTCATAACACATGGTACAACACTTAGAGATGGATGCAGGACCCCTCCTGTATTCACTCACCGTATATGTATATATAATAAATATATATATATAATATATATATATATATATATATATTCGAATTTAATGTAAATACCAATATACACATGTATACTCTACCTCTTTCAATAAGAAACCTATTAAAGCAGGGGCCACCGCAGCAAGGTCCTCCAAGAGGAATGCCGCCACAAGGTCCACCGCAGATGCGTCCAGAATGGAATCGACCACCAATGCAACAAGGCTATCCTCAAGGTCCGCCACACATGCAAGGACCTAACATGGGTCCGAGAGGTCCACCCCAAATGGGACCACCCGGAGCGCCTCAACCGCAAGGACCGGCTCCACACGTAAATCCCGCGTTCTTTCAACAAGGAGGAGGACCGCCGCCACCAATGCAACACATGCCTGGACCAGGGCCCGGTATTGTAACATTTTTATATTTACTATCTAGATGTTTAGGACTTATTCTATTATTAAAACTTGGTTTGAGTATAAGATGGAATCGTTTAAGTAGAGTGGCCACTCTTGTTTTAAATACTATGATAATGTGAACTGATTTTTAAAAATACATTTAATACCCTTGAAGAGTACAATTTGATATAAAAAATGTATTAATTTTATTATTTCTGCATGTAATTAGTATTTTAAATTGTTCAAGAATTATAGTAAACAGTCTTCCAAAAATTTAAAGAGTTTAAATCTTTTTAGCATTTATTATCATTATTTCTAATATCCTGTAACAATATATAAATATTGATTCAATACATGACTTTTTGATCCCTTTTTGTTGTTAATATTTAAACTGTTATAAATTTGATGCGAAAATATATGTTTACATTATCATAAGTATCTTTACTATCCGTTTTTCTGTTGGAAAATGAAGTTAAGAAACAATTCGTGTTGTTATGTTATAAATAACTAATAAAATAATGTGTACAATATTTACGAAAACACTACTGTAGTGTATCATAATCATAATACTTGTTTCATAATAAATCCATAATTCATTTATACTGAGATTGATATAGGTTTTCAGTTATAAGTTGAGAATGACGTCAGAACCTTAAATGTAGCGACATTGTTGATTCTTCAGATATTTCGTTTTTGAGAATTTCTTTGCTTGGGAGCTTACGAAATATTATTGTTTTCAAATACCACTTTTTTCTTTTTTAAACAATATGTATAATTTCCTTTATCTCTTAAACTGTAATACACTGGGGCTGAGTAGGTTAATTGTTTAATTATTTTTTACTGAGTTAAAACTGACGTCGTTCTCATTTTAATTAAAAACCATATAGTAGGTACATTTGTATTGTTTAACTATATTAGAAAATCGCGTTTAAAAAGTTACAATGTTAAAATATTATAAATTGGATCAGCAAATAGTAATTTTTTTCTTGTCCCATTTGTTTAAAATCCATAGACTTGTATGAGAACCATCTTCAAATTTTTACTATGAAAAAGAAAACATATGTCTCATGGTTATATTTGTGCAGGAATATACAGTGGGTGATCAAATTGTTAGAACCACCCCATAAAATTTTACTTTTTGTTTAAAAGTGGTATGTAATTGAGCTATAAAACATATTCTTGTGCTTAATTCTATTTTACTGTGATTTACAATCTTATACAAGTTTATAAATATTAAAAAAAACCAATAATTACATAAAAACACTTAAAATTATGCCTTAAGCCTAATACTTGCTAGTGTCATCCTTTGCAGGAATGACTGCCTGGAACCTTCTTGGTATACTTTTTAATGTATATCTGGCAATTTTCTGGAATTGTTCCAACTCCTGTGCCATTCTGCTATCAAGTGCTCGATCAATTGACGATTTGTAGTTATAATTTTATTAGAAATTTCTTATTCATGAGCTTTCAAAGATTTTCTATTGCATTCACATCTGGCGAGTTGCCAGGGCAGTTGTCTGGCTGTCAAGGTTGTCATTCAAGGAATTTTCTAACAGTTTTTTGCCTTGTGACAAGACGTCGAGTCATACATAAACGTAAAACTCTTAATCAGAAACCACTCCTAGGCCTGGGAAAGCATTTTTGCTTGCAGTACTCTTAAGTACTGGTTCTGCCGCATTGTTCGTTCGACAATGTAGAGTCTACCAGTTTCTTGACTGCTTATGATAGACCACACCATGATGTTTAGAGGGTGATTTACCGTCCGTACAATACAATCAGCTTTATCTTTTTCCATAGGTCTTCCCCTTACAAATTCAGCTCTATCCATGAGGGTCTGCACGGTAGATTCGTCTGAAAAACAAACCTGGAATATTATTCTTATTTTAGAATCAATGACAATTTGCTCAACTGTAAACTACATAAAGATATAATGTTAAGCAATGTTATTTACCTGATTCCAATCATCAATGGTCCAATCTTTGTGATCTTTAGCCCACTGAAGCCTTTTTTTCTTCATAGCTGGTATGAGTAGCAGCTTTTTTGCAAGGCTACAAGTTGAAAACACTATATCCTTCTTTATTCGCCGATGCGCTGTCATTGGTAAAATACTGGTGCCAGGCTCATGCATCATTTTCGTTGAAAACCTTCAAGGTTTTTTTGTGTGCTAAGCCAATATCTCAAATTTTTCTTTCATTTCGTGGCATTGTATTTTTTTTTTTTTCGACTATATTTTTGTTTGTGCCGTGGGGTCAAATCCAAATTTTCGTCAAATTTTTTCTATACAGTCCACAGTTGCGCTTGAAACTTAGAAATTTATGCTATTTTTCTATTAGAGTGATTATTGTTCAATAATAAAGTTTTTATTTCCACTATTTTCCTTGGGGAGATGTTTTTGGCTTCTCCCATGATGTTTTGGTACCACTGATATACCAAACATGCAATGTTTGCTAAATTCATAAAAAATAGTATATGACTGTTAGAATACACTAGAGAGCAATGGAACAACCAAGAATACAAAACAACACCAAGAATACAAAACAATATGCACACGAGTTACAAGCTAGGCTGGACAGCATTGACAGTCAATGTAATCTGAGTCACGAATTGCCACGGCCGCTTTGTTGCCATTGTTGTCAGACTATTTATTGTACTTTTAAAGTTGTTTAAGATAATAAAATGGATACAAACGCATTAATATACTATACAACTCAATTATATACCCTTTAAAAAAAAAAAAAATTGCTAGGTGGCTCTAATAATTTGATCACCCACCCACTGTAAATCAAGTTTTGTTAGATGAAGTGAAAGTGAACCTCTGCGACCAGATCATATCTAACAGACTGTAAAATATCCTTCTAAACAGTTATTTTGGTGTTTTTCACAACAAATGGCACTGAAAGGTTAGTTTGTAAAGGCGTGATGAATTCTGCCAAATACATTGAAATATTACGCAGGAGGATTTTTCAATTCTTGAAAACATTTGACAGAACATTTCAACATAACTTGGCTCCTTGTTACAATTCGAAATTGGCCCAGACTTGTATGCGGGACAATAAAGTAAAAGTGGTTGATTGGCCTGATAATTCACCAGACCTAAATCCCATTGAGAACTTTTGGCATATTCTTAAGAATCGTTTAACTAAGATGGTTGCACTACAAAGCAAAAAATGATAACAAGTGCTATACAAGTGTGGTTCCACAATGATAAAGTCAAGAACATGAGCTCTAAACTAGTTAAGTCAATGCCAAGACTATAAAGACGGAGTAATTTAAACTTTACATAATTATTTACCAACAAATCAAGGAACAGAACAGAATGGTGGAAAATCATAGAACAAGCCAGGACCCAGAAAGGTTTGTCGAGCTACTGATGATGATGATTTACTAACATTCTGACTATAAATTTAATATGATAGGGAATAAATATATAAATACATATGTAACATCAATAATACTATTTTGTATGCATATTAACTCTAATCCGGTGTCGGGCGAATTTTGTGTGGCAGAATAAGTGAGAGACTAATTTACACGATTATATGCTGCATCTGTATAGTGCATCTTTTTGTGCTTTGTTAAAAATTTTAAGAAACATACACAATCTCGTGCTTAATCTTAAGCTTATTTGTTAAAATCAATTAAAATTTTAATTAGATATATAAAACTATCTCCAAGAATTATCATTCTTGTCCATTCAGAGTTTGCCTACCCCTACCTCTCAATATATTAGTGTCCACCTATTTATAATGCAGTAAAATCTGTCATATACAATATTTATTACGAATATTTTGTTTTATATTCAATATGTATATATTTTTCAGATGTTATGTTATTGTTTACAAGACTACAATTTTTATAATATTTACTATATTTTCAAAACAGTAAAAATTATTGTTTTAAGTTCTATTTTACTTTTTCCTACTTTTTAAAAATATGATCATTAACAGCTCAATTCATGTGTAAGATATATTGAATTTACTTTATACATATAACCCCAAAACTCAAATATGCATTGTGTATCTTGTATTGACACTCTGGATAACTGCGACTTTTCTTTGTTAAATATACTGAAATATCTTTTGACATGCCAATATTAAACCTTTTTGAAATTTTGTGTATAGCAGAAGGAAGGACAATTTAGTCCACAGGTCTCCATATCCTTAATGGAATTTGGTTTGAAACTTATACTCCTATTTCTAATTCCTAAACGGTTTGAAAATTTTATTACAGTTCTTTTTTTCAGATTAAGCTTATGAATCTTAAAAATTATGAATTTTCTATTCAGTGTCTTGGAAACACCAACTTTTCTAGATCATTCAACATGGTTGTTTTAGTTAATACTTAAATTAGCAGTCAGACAATGTGGTCTTATAGGCTAATGTGTTGATTTTAGAGCACATTACTGTGAGCAGGTCTTCTCCATCGACATGTCCTCTTCAACCATTTTGTAGGTCTATTGGTTAAGTGTTTTTCTCTAAAGTCAACGTGTGAGTTGGTATACACACTTGAATTAATTTTTTATAGCAGCAGTTTTATAAAGTATTTTGGAGATAACATGTACTAAAAGTATTTGGCAGGTTTGAAAATGAGTATGATTTCTGCTAGTTTCAGTAGTTGAATCTAAGGATAGGATTAAATATGTATGTGATCAGAGCTATTCTCTTTCTTGGCAATTCTTTTAGCATTTTTGGTTACTTTGTCCATGCTAGTGCTCTTCGAAGATTTAAGTACCTTATTTTTTCTTGTACTTGTTTAACTGATGTTTTTATGTATGGAATATTTATGGAATTTTTGATAATTACTTTGTTATTTCATCATTTGGTATAGCATTTTTAGATATGAATACTGTGGCAAGATAGATGTTCTGCAAATAGTCAAGCTTTTTCTTCGTTGTTTCTTACCTACTATGAATTGTGATTTCGTTGTGGATTAAAGATACTTGAGTATTATTCTTCTTTGAGTGTCGGATAGGTTTCTGATAGAGTTGTCATATCAATTGAGACTAGTGA